TTTAGGTCATGGCTATGTCAGTGAGAACTGAGATGCAAGTCTGCATGGAGTCGGTACAGAGAGCTGCATGCATGCAAAGATTAACATGAGAGAGCATATTGGTTGCGTAAGATGTGCGAGTAAAAAACACATCTGATATGCTTGTTGTCTTGACACGGAGGGCCAAAAGCAGTAGAAAGTATGGTTACACGTTAAAAAAAAAAAATGAATGCAGACAATGCTCACTGCAATATTTGTTTTTTTCCTTTTTTCAAAGATTGTTTTTTGGCGTTTTTGCCTTTACTAGATAGGAAAGTCTAGCATGAAGAAGAGGGGATGACATGCAGCAGGGGGCAAGGATTGGAATTGAAGCCACGACCTGCAAAGCTGGCCAGGGCAACATGTCTTACCCTGAGAAAAAATTAATATGTTCTAAATAAAGAACAAGTGTGAAGTTCAGAGTATAGTATACAGAAAAGAGGTTTCTTTGGGTAAGAGTACCGCAATTCCAGGCACCAGTACCGGTATCACTTCAAAGAACTAGTATGAGTAGATAGTAGTAGTTTTCGGAGAGGTGAGAGGTAGAAGTGATAAAAGATTACTATATGTAGTGGGAGTAGTAGAGTCAGTGACTTGGTTCCAGTCCTGCATGGACCAGATAAGGAGGGTGGACTGGTAGCTGGATTAGGTGCAAATTCACCTCTTGGGCACTGAGAAAATACTACTACTAATTTTACACTGGGTTTAGTAAAGTAATTCTCCTTCTTCTTCTTCTTCTTCTTCAAGTCTTAGTAGAAGTAGTAGAAGCACAAGAACATCAGTAGATGAATTAAATAGGATTAGTAGTTTTAGTGTTGGTAGATGTACCAGTCAGAGTAGAAGTAGCACTAGTATTAGTCATATGAGTCGTAGAAGTAGTAGAAGCAGATTAGTAGATGTAGCGGTAGTCTTACAGAAGATGTAGTAGTGGTCGTAGAGTTAGTATAGCAGGTATAGGTGTAATAGTAGTAGCATAAGGAAATTAAGATAAATGTTTAGGCTCAGTTGAACTCAGGCTAACCCCTGCGACCTTCATCAAGAGCCATAATCAGACATTAACAGTTCTTTGCGCTGGAGGGCTTTTATTGTGTAGCAGCTGCTGGTAGCACACATTGCAGATGGCTTGCACCTGTTTGTAGTAACTGTTTTCTGTTTCTCTTATTCTTCAGCAGAGCTTTTGTCTTTGTAATGCAGTGTGATAAGCTTTTTTTTTTCCAGATTTTCTGGATAGCTGGTAACCAAAGTGGGCAAACCAGAGATACTCCCCAGGTGTTATGAATGCATCATCAATAAATTTATGTATTGATGCTACAGGTACATATGCTATAAACCCCTGCAAAGGGACAAACAGTCATTCCCATTCCCTAAATGTACTGCAGGTCCAGAAATGTCTGTTAAACAGTGTGTAGTACTGTGTGTGTTTGTGCCATGGAGTGGCAGACAGACAGAGTGTGAAGACGTGTTATACGCTGCCAGATCTCCTGTAAGTGGAACAGAATAAAATATGGCTGCCTCCTCTCCTCTCCTCTCCTCTCCTCTCCTGTCCTGTCCTGTCCTGTTCTCTCCTCTCCCGGAGGAGCACTGAAGGAGCCAGTTCCGCCTAATGAAGGAGCCAGTTCCGCCTAATTCTAGTGTTAACTCAGGATAAATGCAAGGATTTACTGTTCGCAGCTTACAAATATAGAGACACAAAAAACAGCCCAAAACGCAAGAGATGTCTTATTGGGCTTTAAAATAGATAAATATAAATATTAAGTCTTAGAATAGAAGGGTCAAAACTATGTCACCGGGTAAGAACACATTTTCTTTAACATAAGGATTGGGGTTATGTTTAAAGTGTTGGTTTAACCTAATGATGTGTTCTCACTCACCTCTATGGCATTTTGCCGTACAGCTGGATTTTTGTTCATCCAGGTTTTAAGATATTTGTCTTTGAGATTATGGCCTCCACCCAAATATAGAGGACAACTGAATTTGTGTTTGATGTGCTCATTTTTTAAAACTTAAACAGTAATGATCTTTTTAGAAACAGTGTCCCAAATGTAGGTTATCAATTAAAATCAAAACTTTTAAATTGCATTGTTAAAAATGTGAAAATATAGTATCACCTACCAACGGAGCTTGTGCACGGCACACTTGAGCGCATCCGTCTGAGGCTGTGGATCACTGCCAGGTTTTACCACTTTACAGGGTCCGACGTTAAGGTTTTTTCCTACTTGCCCTGCCGGGCAAGTACTTCTCAAATCTACTTGCCCCATCTAAATTCTTACTTGCCCTGCCTAAGAGGTTCTTTTTCTGGCTGTGTGTTGCATATTTTCGCTCATGACTTATATCTTACGTCAGCAGAGACGCTCAGCCAATGGAGGCAGCAGCACTTAAAAAAGCAGCACACTGCAACTGGCCCCTCCGAGGACAGAAACAGGAGAGGAAATACACGATTACAGGCCTGGAATTAAGTCATTTTTAGGGCAAGGCCACTGTGGCCTTTGATAAATACAAATTTATTGGGGCATCACAGCCAAAATGTGGGGCACCAAGGCCAAAACCAATGGCGCAATAACAATATGTGCTAACTACATTGAATGAAGACAAAACAATATATGTGTTGAAAAACAGTACTGAGTTTATTAAAACTGGGTGTGCATGCCTGGGGATATGTCTCGTTTCTTGTTGTTTTGACTCATGTCCCTTATTTTTTAAGTCTTTGAAATCTCTTTATTCTATTGTTATCTCCTAGTTATTAAGAAATTATTATTAGAAGAAGATTCTTTATTGTCCGTTCTCAGCACATTACATACATTGTATACACTGTATACACTGGGAGCAGTGGGCAGCCGCAGTGCAGCGTCCAGGAACCAACTCCAGTTCTTTTGCCAATGCCAGTGGTCAGGGTCACTGACAGGAGTATTCACCTAACATAGCCTACATATCTTTAATTATATAATTATTTATATGTCTCTATGTATATTTTTACATAAATCCCCAATATTTAATTTGCCTTTAAAAAAATCCTCTTCCTTCATTTAATTTGACAGTGTTTATTGTATTGTATTATATGTATTAATTCTCTACAGGATCTTGTGTGTTTTTAATGTGTGTTCAATTTATTAAAAGAAAAAAAAAACCAAAAAAACGTTTTGGTGAACCCTGCAGCAAAGTGAACCCTCTTCCTCAGAGAGGATCTTTGCCTCCCAGTTTGTTCCTGGCGACAGAGCAGAGTGAACCGTCTGTCTTCTCAGAGGATCTTTGTCCCATGAGAGCAGGCAGCATGCTGTTCTCATCTATCGCTCTGTTCTCCGTGTCCGCATTTAAAACATCTTTCGCTGACGATTTAACAGTCACTAGAAGCACATTATGACCCTTTGTAAAAGTTTCTGTGTGGTACCTGTGTTGTACATGAGCTAACGTTAGCGGCTAAGGACTGAGAGGCTGTGCCGTATGTGTGTGTGTGTCCGAGTCGGTGCTGCTTGCCCGATCGGGCATGTCTGCGCAGGGTCTGCTGGCCCGCCAGCTATCTTTACTTGCCCCGGGCATTTGGGCAACCATTAATGTTGGACCCTGCTTTATCACTATTCCCTCTAACTTGTAGCTGTTTTTTCGTTATCTTTTGAATTTAATATGAATTATGGAACTGGTTTGTTTCCCCCGTTTTGTACAATAAATTATTGTTTAAAGTTTCAACAAGTTTCTTTTTGAGTGCGTGACACTAATGTGTTTTGAAAACGGCCGTGGACTGTCACCTGCTCAACGCATCAGTACATTCGGATGCCGTGACAGTAATAGCCAACAATATCAAAATATCATTTACAGACCGATTTAACAGACGATCACTGCTGCCCGACCCGCAGGTCCATTTGCGGGTCCCGCAGGTTACGGGTCGACCTGTGCATCACTGCTCAGCTCAGTCTATAAATTCTGCACACAACAGTAAGGCTATAGACATTATATTCTATTCAGGCCGGCAGAACCAGCAGCGCATCGGCTCTACAGTGCACGGCACTGCTGATTAACCATTTTATTGCAGCACAGAGTGTCTGCCAGCAACCAATTACTTGCAGAGGCTTCCTACAACTTGTTTCAGCGGATCCGATTTAATCAGAAGACAAATTAAACAGGATGACTAGCCAATGTGAAAATCAAAAGAAAGTATAGAATAATGTACTGAAGGAGACTGTTGTGCCATCACATTTTTTTGTGGTTTGAGAGCAAAGATCCGGTCGCTGCTGTGCAAAACTCCGCAATACAATTAGGTCCGAAAAAACCCCGGAGGAGTGCTTTGCAAGGAGTCTTAGAAAGGAGCCGAGCCTGGTGTAAAACCGGAGAGAGCAGGCAGCACGGCCACAGCACCACCACACACTTTAGAAAGGAGTGTTACCAGACTATCAGAAGGCGGAGATCTCTGATTGCCAGTTGGCAGAACGAAGAATCCAATAACGGAGAAAATTCTTGATGAATTGAACGCACAGGGCTCCGCATTTAACAACAGCAAAATTATATCAAAACATCTGTTGACAAACTCTCAGATGAGTCTGGCTTTGAAGAAAGCATAGATACGTTTCACTCTGCTGTAAACAGAGCTTTTGATATGATTTTGCTGTTGATAAACGCAGCCTTGTTTACTTTAATTTATCAAGAATTTTCTCTGTTTTCTTCTTTCATCCTTGAGGAATGCAGAGTTTTCCCCAACTATTCATTCCATCGCAGGGTGAGGATTTGATGTACAAATGATTATTTTGGGGTGAAGTTCTCCTTTAAGAGGGATAGTCGCTTTGGTCACACTAACAGTCAGCCTCATCAGACTGAGAACACACCTGGATTAATTTACACCCATAATACAAACTCTACACCTTACCCTCTCCCTCTGATTACTTATACTGTGCATGTATATTATTTATTTCATGACAGTATATAAATGTCTATGTGAGCAGGTTATGTGTCAGCCTACTAACCAGTTGGTTGTCATTTTGTTTGTCTCCGAACAGGTTGCCTGTTTGAGAACGAGCTGTGTTCACCATATGAGATCTGTGTAAACGGTAAGAACACACACACGCAAACACATGAGAATCTTTATTTGACCACATAACAAGCATAGCATATTTTCAACACCTGTGCCACACAGCCAGGTTACGTGTTGCAGCTGAGATGGATCTAAGCTTTTATAGCTTTCTAGCTCTGATGTTTTTGGTAAGACTTCCAACTGTAACCCACTAACAGCCTGTTTGTGAACAAGATTGCCACATATTAGAAACTCTTATTTACAACCAGATCCTGATCAGGTTATGAAAAAAAGCTTTATTAACCCCTTGAACATTCTCTTTATTTTGAAATTGGGTGTTCCAAGGGGTTTGTGTAAGCCATGAAACGTGCTCTTTTTGTAAAGAAAGCTCAAATAAAGAACATGTTAATGATCTGGGAGTGGTCGAATGTAATGTCTGGGGCATCTCCTCCCGCTTAGATCTTGAATTTGTACTTGTTACTTGTGGACCAAACCACTGCTTGTTTAAAGGCAGATCGCAGAGTACACATACAACAAAAGGGTCCAAAACATATTCAGTCTCTGCTGCGTTAAAGATCACAGTCACAAGAGGCGGGACATTTGCTAAATGAGCATGTAAGTGTGTGCGAATGAGCACAAATGAGCATAGATATTAATTTTATATTCACACTAGCCTCTTCAGAATCAACTGCTGGGCTTTGTAATTACACTCTCACAAACATATAAATATGAAGCCACACTCTCGCTGCCTTACTCTTCCCTCGCGGCTTCTCTGGCATCAAGAGAAAAGGAACCCCTGCTGAGAATCAACCCAGAATCAAAAAAAGCTCAAAACATGAAAGTCGTTCACAGAAAATAATCTGCATATATTTTGAAATCCTGGAAACACTTTCATCTGTGAATCCGCTGGGTCAGGCTGATGATAACCAAGTTACTCTCCAGAGTTCGCACTCTGTCTGTTCTGAGCTTACCTTTTGTTTTCTGTTTTTTCATTGGTTTACCGGGAAGCCGTGCAGGGCAGGCTTCACTTATCAACATCTCTGCAGGGTTTAAAGCAAAGACAGAGAGCCAGCAGTGATAAGAGAATATTAGAATCTGTTGTATAATCTCATTAAGCATGTGAATGGTCTGTTAGGAGGTGCAGGTGGCTGTGCTGTTGGGTACACGGCTGACCGACTGTGTTTCTGACCTGCTTCCTTACGTGTGTTTACTTCAGCAGGGTGTGTTTGTTCTAAATTCATTAGTTCAGCCGTTTCCTGTGTGCTCGCTGTCCTTTTGAAATGTGCCCCATAATCTAATTCTGACAGAGGCAGTGGGGATGAAAAAAACAAAAACTAAATGATGTCTAGTTCTGTGAGAAAATCATTATGTCAGCCGTGAGTTTTATTTTTAGCCGAGCTCAGACGGGCTCTCCGTCTGTGTTGTGACTGCCTCAGGTGACCTTGTTTCGCTTTGATAAAAAAAAGTGTCAACTGCTTTTATGTGGATAGTTTGTCTGTTTTATTTCATTGCTGATAGATTTGTCTTTGCTCTGCTGGTCACACTCATATCTTCTGCCCTTGTTATACAACTGCATATAAATATTATTTATTTCTGTGATTCTAAAAATCTTACAAAGGTGATCTCTACAGGAAAAATGAGAGAAGGACATTGCAAATATGAAATCCAAACTACACTGCATTCAGCACTGTAGCACTATAGCTGCCATTGAAAGCACTAAGGTCACCTCCTGCATATTTTTTCTGGTAACGTTCAGGCTTCAGTAACCTGAGAAGGTGTTTCCCATGATGGATATTTTTTGAGGCCTATTCTCAATACATTTTTTGATTCAGTATATCTGAAATGAGGCTGTTGGTATACCAGAATTATATTTCTGGCTATGTAGAGCATTTAGACCGGGGATACTCAACTTGCTTCACCCAGAGGCCACTTTTGCAAAATGACTGGAGGTCAGGGGCCAATAAATAAACATTAATAATGTATATATCAGATAAAATGTATACTTGCTGTCTTCACTCATCTTTGCCAAGACGCAAATACAGTCGCAGCAGCCCTGCACAAGTCAGGTTTATGCAGGGGTGTTTCTAGGATTTGAGGACATTATGGGCTTAGCCTGGACCTCTGTCGGGGGGGTGTTAGGGGTCCCAGGGGATCCTTACCTGGTACTTTTTTTTTTTTTAAATAAAGAAGCTCTGTTTTTGATGCTTTTCAATGCACTCTAGCCCCTACCATCAAAAAAACAGGCAAAGACACATTTTCTTTAACAACAGTCTGGCAAATACTGACCGCTGTTTATGTAGCAGCGCTAATTAAATTTCTCCTCCCAGCTCTGGGATCCGCCACTCATGTTACTGTTATAATAGTCAGGATGATTGGTCAGGATGTATTCTGACCCCTCACACATACAGGTATACGTACATACACTGCAGTTGCCAGTTTATTAGGTACATCCTGTTAAAATTAAATCAGATTAAGAAAGTCCTGCAATAAAGCATACCTTCATGAACGCTATAATGTAAAGGGAGGTGTTTGTGTTATTTAGCCTAGCCTCACTGATATAAACCTGGTGGACAAAATAATAGAAACACCTTGCAGTATGATGCAATACAATTCAACAGCAGCACACACTACATTGTTCGGAATGGTCATACAGTTGAATCGACACTTATTAAAAAGGTTACGTTATATCTCGTTATATTAGATTTAATTAGGTTTACATTATAAATTGGCAACTGAGTGTATATCTATCTATCTATACAGAGATATAGATATAGGTATAGATACAGTATACGGTATTAACAAGTTTTCTGATTATTTGTGGAGATGATGAATACACCATGATGGTACACACAAGTCACTTTTTGGTTCCGTTCAAAATTTAAACATTCAAAGCACCCAAACATTAACATCCTGATCGGCACATTAGGTAACAACATCCAGTGTGTGTGTTAGCATATTGGATGGCATTTCTATTCACAGCCCCTACAACGGTGGAGCAACGCTGATACACCGTCCTTATCTTACACACAACTCTCTCAGTTGCTGTAGTAGCTGACTGAGAACCCGCTGACTTGCATACCAATCTGCTTGATGCTAACCTCAGCATATGTTGCTAACAGTGTACAGTTTACAGGCAAAAGTCATGCCTGTAAACTCTGGTTGCACATTGCATGCATCAGTCTACATACTGTGCGTTCCGCGTGTGGCTGCATGCACTGGACTGTGACACCCTTACTGTGACAGTTTGGCATGAATACACAAACCGTTACAGCCCATATGGCAAATGATTTTCACAACATAGTAAAATATAGCATTGTAGAAACAGAAAAATCAAGCTCATATACTACAATAACGTAATGTAAGCAAGTTGACTAATCGTAAGCTAGTTAACGCCGTATCTATGTGTAACTTTCAACCAGAGATCACCCTTCAAATGTGATATTTGAGGTAGATGTTGTCGGACCACACGACCTCCTGAAAAATGTGGAGATGTGTTGCCAACGTTGAGAAATGTATAGCAGGCTGTGGGAAGTGATCAGCTTCTATTTACTGTAGTGAGCAATAGCAACAGGAAGTGAGATGAAACAGGACAGGCTGTTCTCATGTGCTGTTCGTATGTATAGCTACAAAAAGTCATGCATGTAATCAGGGAGGCTGCAATCACATGACCAATACCCTGACGAGTAAAGAAGTAGTATAAAGAGCGAAAGTCTATCTAAGAAGGGTTTGGGTGGTGAATGGGTCAAACAACACAGGACTTTACCTCAGGAGTGTCCCATGTGAAATAAAGTGAACATTGAGTTATTTTAGGTCCATTGTCACCATGTTTCTTTTCCTAAACCTAACCTAAGTAACTTAACGTCAGACATAACTTTACGTTAAGTACATAACGTGACGACACCCAACAATGTTTGTTGTCCTTTACCTAACTTACTTAGCTTTACTTTCCTAAACCTAATCTGTTTAACACTACGTGACGTGAGGACGCCCAACTTTACCTAAAGCTAATCTACGTAACCTTATTTCCTAAGCCTAACCTATGTAAATTTATGTTAAGGGGTAACGTGATGACGCCATTTGAGGGGGTTTTATTCGTAAGATATTATCAGGACTGTTGTATAAGGGTATGTCAAACAGGATCAAGCTGAAAAAGTTGCGGGCAGCAGAAGGTCAATCCTGTCTAACTTGATTCAAGTCGAGTGGTGGGTTTTGCCCTTATAAATGTTTCCTTTTCACCTAACCTGCTAATCATTGTGAAACACAAGCATTAAAATGATTCCATCTGTCCCTGGCAGTGTTGGATGTTTTGGTGGAGCTACTCTTCTGCTCGGCTACACTCTCTGTCCAAGTTTTAGAGAGCATGAAAAGCTCCCCTTGAGTGAGTCAGGTGAGGCGAGGCTGCGCCAACAGCTGGATCTCACAGTGGAAAAGCTACGGTGGCTGCACCACCAGCCATTGTTCTCACCCTCCGTGTGTCCGACCTGCTTCAATAGCTGCTGTCAAACTGGCCCTCGTAGACAATGCCAGTCCGTTGTGTTGGTGATTGGCAGCTCAGACTCTATCAGGACACACAGCAGCTCTGATTGCCTGAGCTGGCTATAATCTCTTGGCGGACAAAAAACAATGAGTAATGTTGGTATTGTTCAGCACAGGACATTCTCTCTCTTTCTACCTTTTTTCCCCCACAACAAAGGGAGAGTGTGACAACTAGAAAAATATCTCAATACCCTGAGGAAACAAGTTGTTCTTTTACCTTGGCATTGGAAGACAGTTACACGCTTTTTACACTTGACAGTGTCTCCTGGATGAACACTGAGGGTATTATTCAGAAAATATGAATAACTCGCCTGGAGATTTTGGAGAATTTAACAGTCTTTTACAAAGTAATGCAACACTGAATAGCTTAAAGACTATAGAGCAACTGCTGCTACACTCCTCTTTGTTGGTTCAAACAACTATGTTGCCTTCAGGGTATGCCCAGATCAGTGCATCACAGTAGGGGCATCCACAAGCTGATGCTGTAGAAAGGAGGAAAAC